TTTTAATGCTAATCTGTACTCCATGCATAAAGCTTCTTTTAATAAAAATGTGCACTAGAGAATACAATTCTATGAGTTAATTAATAAAGAAAAAATAACTAAAATATAAAACAGAATATAGTTTCTTAGTTTACAGAATATAGAATATAAAAAAATAATTCGTACCATGAAGAGTGAATTGAAGTATGTTAACAATCGTATAGTAGCAAATGTAATAGTTCTAAAGTGGTATAAGATCCGGTTAATAAACATCAACTATCTAGGTTTAGGGCCGGCAAATCCAATGACAAATATTTCAACTTAGTGTAGACAACTAATGAAGCATCATTGTGGTAATTTAAGTACATAACTGTCCTCTCTAGCCTTAATAAGTCATTTCTGAAGTTAAGTTTTGATATAACTTTATGTACACGGAAGTCGAAAGCCTCATTTAATAGTACATCCATGACACAAGTTAAGTTTAACTCCTTCTTAATTTTGACTACAGACCTAAAGTCAAAGAGCGGGTTATAAGACAAAAGCAAATAGTAATTCAACGGTGCACGTAGAATGTGAAATTTATACCCTAGATAATAGTACTTCCTTACTTACAAATCACCAACCATAAATTAACCTCTAATCACAGACCAAGTACTTGGTCAGTGTTAGGTAAGCACTAAATCTTTGATCTTACTCATACAACCATATTACCGTTGTGTGTTATTAGAAGTGGGATAATAGATGCACCTACAATCTGTACGCGTTTCATGAAAGTAGATTTATGCATTTGACACCTATATAAGAATTTGGTATCTTTACATAAAAGGATACATCAAATACTCATACCATATTATTTTTCTTGTTGGGAAAATGAAGACCAATAAAAGTATTTTGATATCAAATGAGGATTTTTAAGTAAATATACGAGAATTTAGATAATTCTTACATTTATCTTTTATAAAATAATTTCGATTTTAGTTTATGTAGCATAAATTTTCCACGAGTAATCTAGTATATTATAAAACAGTACTCATAAAAAAACAGTAAATCATTATTTTAAACATTGTCAATGAACATTACTTTAGTACAATACTAACATGATCGTTTAAATATATTACTTTAAGTTATATGTAGAAATGGAAGAGGTAATAAAAAATGATGAATTAGTATTAAGAAAACTCATGTTGTTTATTTCGAAAGAACCATATGAGTTTTATAGCTTGAAATCTAGAGTAGTTACTATAACTGTATCTACTGACCGCTGACGGTCATAACAATCAAAAAACATTTTACGTGAGGTTAAAAAAATCAACCAACAAAAAACGGTATAAATTATGCACATCATGTTTAAGTTGCTACGATCGTTAAGGATAATTTTTCCATAGTATATTTAAAGAATGTCATATATTCTAAACTTTTTATGCTAATTCACTTTAAATTCAAAACAAATAAATTATTCTGAATGTATCAAAGAATTTTCCAATGTTTAATTTCAGCCTGAATCTATCAAAGAACCTGTGATAATAATATAATTTCATAACTATCTAAGATTCAAATAAAAATAAAATATTGAATACAGGGCGAATCTTTAAACGCTAGCCACTCGATGTCTCTTAAAATTATAATAATGAAATATGAAAATTATTTTTGGTATTATTTAGTTTCATATATTTCTCGATTTATTAATTATTAAGTACTTTTTTAATTTATCTTTTATACATCATAAGGGTGTTAGCTATATTTTTTTAAATGGCAACATAAATATTTAACTAGCCTATAAAATAAAAAGTGATCTAATTATTTAATCCCTCATTAATCAACTTTAAAATATATTGTATGAATTGGCCAACAAGGTTATTTTAACACGTATGAATTTACTACTTTGGATATAGTAACTGGGAAGGCACTAAATTGGAGTAACTGTCACTAGTAATGTTGGAAATCGTAATTGATTGGCATGTCTCTTATACAAAGCTCCAAGGAGTATATCATATTTAGGTACTGGTGACGATAAAACTTATAATTCATAGGTGATATACACGAATACTGCAAACATAATACCTATATGTTGTTACTGTTACTGTTTCCTTAATCGTGAGAACACTTTGGGATGCGAGATATATTTTTTCCTAAAGCGAGTACCGAGTCTACGGGACGATGAAAATATATCAACCTCGTCAACCGATGAATGATGATGCGGTAAAATCGTCTATGTAACCTAAATGATGAACTCATACACATAACCTGTACATGTCAGAGTGGAAGGAGTTATACAGTAAAATATACATAGAAATTTGTCAGTGTTATTGTGTTATTATTTAAGGGGAAAACAAATAAAATACTCGAAAAATAATTTAAATTTACCCGTTCGATCGACGATTTGATTTTATTGAACTTCACTATCTATATTCGAAAACAAATTATATCTCAAGTCATTAATATTTACTACTGTCTGAGGCTAACTTAATAAAATCATGTTTTGGGCTATGAATTCTAAAGGGTCAAAATAACAAACTTTCCCTGTTGAAGTATAGAATGATTTATCATAAATACAAAATAGAAGTGGTGGTAATTGTACAATAAAGAAGACCAGCTAGCCTAAATGGAGTAAATCATCACGCGTAGGAGGGAGTTGTAGGATTAAATTAATCAAATTCACGGAAATGACCTGTTGTAGGGAACCGTGATTATTTATGTTTATTTAGATATTTTACATAAAGAAATGAAAAATAATCTTTACTCGAGGATTTGCATAATGTCCAATACTTTGGCGAGTATACCTTTATAAGTATAATTAGTATATAATAAATATTAATGATATTTTTCTTAGGCTATATTATTTGGAATAAAAATCAAAATGCTAATAGTTATTGTTATGCCGAAGAATATAAAATTAAGAATTAAACAAATTAATATTTTTATTTATAATATTAATACGCATCACTACTGTCAAATAAAAACCAAATTGATTTGGATTTTAGGTAATATATAATATTACTTAGTAATTAGTAACACATATTTTTGTTAGAATATTCGTGTCGGTAATAACACAGTACATAAATTATAAAATTATAAATTAAAAAAAATATATAGTGAAAAGTGCGCTTTAATTTGAACTAATTAAAATGCAGGATTTGGGGAACATAAATGAATATAAATTATCATATAAATTAAAAAAATATTTTAACTTTTCGTTGGTTGTATAATATTGAGCAAAAACAAAAGTTGTTTCCTAATTAATTCAAAACAATAAATATGTTATATTTTATTACTATGTATAGATAATCATTGGTTTTATTTTAAAATAATAGTTACGATTACAAAGTTGGGTAAAATACTTAGTGGTTGATATTATTTTTATGCATACTTTAAACTTAAAAAAGGGTTTCTGCTTTAATTAAATGTAATTGAATTCAATTTATTTTTATTAATTAATCAAAAAGTAGCGAATTTTATTTTAACTACTTTACTACGTTAATTAATTTAGTAGTAAATGAATAAAAGATATATTATAATAAAAATACCTCTTGTTTCTAAATGTTGCAATTATTTGTTAAGTCTATGAAATTATTTACACGGTCACAAAGGAGAACTGTGAAATATTTTTAATACTTTTGCAGTAAATTTATACGAATAGAAAATTATATTACAACACACATTTTTTTTATAAATAAACTAGGCAACTGTATTTTTAGCATGATGAAATGCCGGAAATGAAAATTTTCTTTGATATCTGCGGAGCTTTTCCAGTTAAATGTCAATTTACTTTTTATGAAAAATATAAATGACATTTTATGACAAATATAAGCTAACATACAAAGTTAATTACGTTTACAATTATATAATGAACGTCTTTTACTGAAGTGTTTTAACAATTTTGTTAATAATACAATTGAAAATATTGTTTATTAAATCATAGAAAATAACGAATTTTTTATGTTATGAAAAATAAGTAATACTAATTTGTCTGTTTAAATAGACCTTTATGAGCTCAAAACATATTGTTCTATATGTTACTAATCAGTAGTTTTAATATGTAACTATACATGATATTGTGAAAATAATGATGTGAGAGGAGACTCAATATTAAATGACTAAAACTTTTAAACAATCATTAGCTAATGATCGACTACCTACACACAATGAATATTCTATAGATGTTAAATAGAAAATGTGTACACAGTAGTAAGGGTTGATGCGAAGGTACTTAAACCTAATTACTGTAACAACACAATGAGCTATTGTTTCAATTCTTTTGTTGTCGATGTAATCAAAAGATGTAGTATATTACTAAAAAAATGGCAATGAGAGAGAGATAAATTTAAACGATTAAAAAAAAATAGACGTATTTATTTACAAAAAGAAATACACTCAATTACCCGTCTAGTAAAATGATAAATAAAGTTCTAAACGCTCACATAAACATTTTTAAAAACTCTTCAGTAATGTTTCATAATGATCCTTTGACATAAAAATAGTTTCAAGTTTAAACTTTTTTTAATTTTGTACTTACTTCAATCATAAAGTTTTTCGAATACTTTAATCTACTTTAGCTATATTTTGAAGACACTCGATAAACCTTTTAATCATTTTTTTTCTGTGTATACATACTTGAACTAACGAAAAAGAGTGAAAAAAATTTAACTAACTACAAAAACGTCACTTTTAGCTTTAACAACAATTTTCGGCTGATAAGAGTTTCTTGTGGGTAGCAAAATTAATGATCGTTGTTATACTACGATAAGTACTAGTATACATAATACGTCGTAATGGATAATAATTTAATGGCGAATTTAAGAAAATCTCCTCGAAAAAAACAAAAAGCCGATATATGCTTAATTTATGTATTTTTAATACATTATTAATTTCATAGTCTTGTTTTTTACTTTTATAAATATAGTAACTTAAATTAATTCTAATTAATTGATTGAAAAAAAAATTATATGAAAAAAATCATGCGTCTTATAAAAATAATTTAATATTAAATATAAAAAATGTAATAAACTCTTGAAAAATATTACCTGTGGTTATGGTCTAAGTTGCCGAGCACAGTTGTTGTTTTTTACTTAGTGATATTTTTAATTTTAGTTAGTAACAGAAAATTATTTTTTTCACTATAGCCTTTATTACTGGCGTCTTATCGAAATGAATACTCAGTAATTATCTAAATTACGTTGTTGATTAATTATAATATAGTGATCCGGTACCGTTACAATATGTGCCAAAGTTTTCAACGCCACCGCAAGAATAACCGTCAAGTAACGGCTAAAGAACACAAGGGGACCTCGTAGTCGCCCCCGAACCTGAAACGCTCTCTGTTGGCGACCCTATAGAGCAACATTGTGTCTCCGGCTGTCCATATACACACAAAGGCTAATATAACCTGTTAACTCAAAAACTATACTGACCATACTTTGATTACATGTATACTGATTTCACCTATATAGGTAGTTTAACTTAAAATAAGTATAATACACTTATTTTTATAATAGCTTATTTTTTTTAGAAAACAATCTATACGATATAAATTTACAAAAAGTTTTTTTATTTTACATGTTATATTGTATAGTTTTAACAACCTCAAAGGAAGTCGCCCATTGGTAACAACTCAAAATCTACTCCTAAAGAAAAAATATTTATAATTTTTATTTAATTCAATTATAAAGAATAAAAATAACTCTTAGATTTTTATTACATTTTCCAACTCGTTTATAACTAAAAGTAAAAATTACAAAATTCATGTTTCAGATAAAATATGAACAAATTTCATTCGGTTAGATTTATTTTATTGCAAATGACAATTCAACTCATTATTGTGTAGTTATAATTATGTATGTATATTTTTTGATAATCGAAGTAATTCTTCTAAGAATTTTATCGGAAGTTATGAAATATATTTTACAAATTAGTTGCAACGAATATAAATGTATAAAATTATTTGTTCAAATTGAATCTAAAGAATATGTACTTTTTATTTTTCTTATAAAACACATACTAATACATCCGGACTTCTTATTTCATTTTTAACACGTATTACATAAAATAATTCATTGGTTTTCTATTATATTTGTATGTTGGTACTCAATGACTTTATAAGGTTTCTTTATACAAAATCGTAAGCCCATTAGCCACAAGTCAAATCGAAGTAATGCGTATAAGTAGACACGATAGATTATCCTGTTTAAATATTCTTGTGTAATTTTTTATTGTTTGAATGAATTAATCTTATTTAAAATTTATAATGCAATTAAATATTATTAAACTTTTAAACGAAGTGGTTCAAACCAAATAAAATAGATATTAATATAAATATATATGGATACACACATACAATGCACCATATATTTATGTCATGAAAGTCAAATGACAGTTGGGTTGGGTTAATATAGTTAAAAAACTATATTATTCAATTAACAGAACCACAACTTGAAAATGACAAACATAAAATTAAATAACTTATACCTTTTAATCATCTCTTAATGTATTTAAAAAAATTTAATTACAAAATAATATAACTTAGATTATTTAAACATTTATAATTGACTTATGAATTACTTAAACTAATTAATCTTTTAATTAGTCAAAAATTTTTGATTTTATTGCATAAGATCAATATAAATAATGTAAACTTATGAATATTTTATTTAACATTCATATTGATATTTATTATTTTTAATATGAAATGCTTTATAATTATATATCATGCGCAATGAACTAATTTTAAGAATTTAGAATTTATAGCAAAGTTAATTTAATTCAATTTTTTTTTCAATTTATTTCATTTATTTAAAAATGTGCGTTATATAATTTTTTTTTTAATTGAAACTATATTCAAAAAAATATTATTAATTTAAAACTAAAAAATATTTTGCTCAAAGAGCCACAAAAAAATTGCGGATAGGTATTTCGAGAACAATGTTACCATTATCAACGCTAAACACATAATGACACCCCAACCGAAAAAAAACTCTTATACAGGGTGATTTTTTTATCATAACCCACTCAATTACTTGCAGAATAATAATAATTTAAACATTTTTTTTTTTTATTATCTTTAGTTACACATTATTCTTGAATTTTTAACTATGTAATACTTTTTAAGTTCATCCCTTATGCCTTGGAGGGGGGTCAACTTTGTTTTTTTAAATGGTAACACATATTTTTAATTTAATAAAATGTTTGAGTTTTTAATTTAATAGTAAATGGCATTTGAATTTTTAATATAACTTTATTAGCTTATTAGATATAAAGATTTTAAGTTTCAAAATTTTGAGTTAATATACATGTATAATACACATGGGATTGTAAATACAGGTAGCTAATTGGATTTTTATGACATTGCTGTCTCAGTCACGGATTGTTTATTATCAATTATGATTATCAATAGATATACTTTCTGTATTGTCAGTTAGTGTATTTATAAACTCATAACAATGTGCCTTACTACAATTGATAATAACAATGCTGTGTACCTGCTAATATCGATGTTATAAAAAACCAATTAGCTACCTGTATTTGTAATCCCTTGTGTATTATACCTGTATATTAATTCAAAAATTTGAAACTTTAAATGATTATATCTAATAAACGAATTAAGTTATATTAAAAATTCAAATGCCATTTACTATTAAATTAAAAACTCAAACATTTTATTAAATTAAAAATATGTGTTACCATTTAAAAAAACAAAGTTGACCCCCCTCCAAGGCATAAGGGATGAACTTAAAAAGTATTACATAGTTAAAAATTCAAGAATAATGTGTAACTAAAGATAATAAAAAAAAAAATGTTTAAATTATTATTATTCTGCAAGTAATTGAGTGGGTTATGATAAAAAAATCACCCAGTATACCTCTAGTAACGTTATCACTGAGTAATACTACATTTTGCTAGTTTACACGAGTTCAATAATGAATTTTTCAGTTGGTCAAGATCCCAATCAATTAAATTATTATTATTATTATTATACATTTCTATTGCCTACCTTATGTTAGATTCTTTGTAATTATTTACGTTTTTAATAAGTTTTATGGTTTTAAAAAAGTGATTATGTGACAATAAATGTTCAGCCGAAATTTATCAACTTATTATACTTTTAGTGAAATTACCATTTTATTATGATGTTTTTTTAATAATTTATGAATTCTTAGACTACGTTAAAACTATATTTTTATTATTTGTTTTTAATAATAAAATAAATAAATAATAAAATAATCATATATTTTTTAAATTTTAAAAAAGCCATTTTTAGCCCTTTTTTCAAAAAATATTGATGGATCGATAACAACTTTAGAATAAATACTTATTGAGTAACAAGTATTTTAAGATATAGTATTGATACGCGGGTAATGTATATATACCAGTAGGAGCTGCAACCACTCGCGATTATATTATTAAATATAGAATTATTTCTTAACTTATGAAAGATCTAAGCTTGGATAATTCAATTCGAAAACATGTATATGAAATTGTCTACTTTTACAGCGGGACTAATGGTATAAGTTAGAAAACTTATATAGAAATTTAGAAAAAAAAATTGTTTTTATGATAATATGAATTTAACTTATTAATGTTATTATGTTCTATTAAAAAGTTTAAAATTATATGCATTTAATAAAAATATCCTTGAAATATGCATTAAATTTTATTTAAAAATTAATAACACATGCATAAATAAAATATTTATTTTTGATTAATAATAATTTATTGATTTGTATTGCAAAAAAATAGATATTAAAATAGATTCCGCTGACCAAATTACCATCCAATTTCTTAATTAGATTATTATGTATTAAATAAACTATTTAATTATCACCAGTAATTTTTATAGATGAATTATTTTTTCATTTGTTGAAAAAAGAAGAGTTAGAGGAAGACCAAAAAAGAGATGGAGGATGTTATTAAATGCGATATGAAAACGGCTGATGAAGAGTAGATGTTGTGGGAGACGTGTCAAGTAGAAGTTTAAGATAAGGGTGGCCGACCCCAAGTAGTTGGGATCAAGGCGAGGAAAAAGAAAAAAAGTATCATTTTTTCATTTGTAAACTTGTTAATTATTATGTTTTTATTTAAAAAAATTTGATAAAATTGATAAAAAATTATTTAGTTTCAATGTATAGTTAAGAGATTTTTGGTTTAACTTAACTGTGTTTTTTTTTTGTGTCCGGTATGCCATTACTCCCAATCTTACTGTATTTATTTTTTTTAACGATACGTTAAAAAATCACAAAACGTATCTAATTGAAGCTATCCATCCCATAATTTTGAAAAATTCTACTCAATTTTGGTAAAAATTAGAAATGTCCTAAAAAATTATAGTTGTTATGAAACAGTCAATATCGATATTTTTAGTTTTCACTGAACATTGAATTAACTTTTTTAAAACTGGATGATTTGTTGGGAGTTATTTAAATTTGTGTTAATATGAAAATGCAAAACAAAAGTATAAATTTGACTCTGATTTTTTCAACTTACTAAAGATATATTTTAATGTTCATATAGTAGACTTGGAGGTCCAAAAAATTATGTAAGACAAATCCAAATTCCACGATTTTTCTATTTATACTACTAGGCATAATTTGATAACAGAATATTATTATTTTTATATAAAGAAACACTTACTTTTTTGTAAAAGGACTTTTTCATGTGATATTTCATTATACTAATACATCGCAAAGTTCCCTAATGTTTTTCTGGATCAGAATTCACTTGTCCTATTCATTCAGCACTTGAAAATTTTGTATTGCAAATGACATCTTACGTTTAAAAAAGAGCCTATTCGATGTTCCACTTACTTATTAGCATTATTATATGTGGAGTCAATATTTTAGCATTGTTAAAAGTGCAAATGCAAGGGTAGATTTATAGGGGATGAATATTATTATTATTGACTTAGTATTAAAAAACGAGAACACAATGAATGGACAATTTGAATGTCAGGGTATTATTACTACGGTTGTTTAACCTAATCGTACCCTTCGAATTTATAATAATATTAAGAACGTTAAATCCTAAAAATGCGTGGACTAGTGAATGAATATTCCGCAATAATCCTAACCAAAGTACTAATAAGCGATATTTAGTTATATTTTTACTAATTTTTTTAATCATGGGGTGCTATATTTAATATTATACTTTTGAGGGACGAATATGTTCAATATGTATCTCAATAATCTAAATTATTGTGTCCATAAATCTCCACTAATTTTTTAGTGTTTAATTTCTAACAAATAACTTAAAATATTATCAAATCTTATTTTA